TCCTGGCACTTAACAGCATATACAACATTGCTCTGTTTGTGCCGGGGTGCCGGATCTGGAGACGGTGCTTAAAAGCCTGAATTTTGCCTGAAACTCTCAGGCTGAAGAAGTCTCTTGGAGGAGAGACGAAACGTTTCATTAGAGAAGAACCCGTCCAGAAGACCTATACAATTTTTTTCTTTTCGTACACTTGTTGTTTTTTAAACACTTATCAGTGTMTACAAGAGGACGTGTTAAAACTGTTTAGTCAAAGTTAAACATGAAACATCAAAGTTCATTACAAGTGGCCCTTCGAGGGCCACCGTAACACTCATGTGGCCCCTCGGTGAAAATGAGTTTGACACCCCCTGCTCAGTCCTGACACTACAGGTGGTGTTCACATACTGATCATTAGTTGTTGATGCAGAAAATTCGTAGATTTATTTTCATGAATTTTCTATTGCGTAGGTGGTGTTGGTGCCCCCTCCACAATGATGTCACATGGTTTCAAGAGCAGTAAGAAGGACTTCACGTTTGGACCATGGACAGTGACCGCTTCCAAAAACCACATCATGAAATCGAAAGACATTGAGCGGTGAGACATTTAAGCGTCTATGATGCCTTCAAGAACTAGTAGTGTAGGAGTTTTCAACTTTACATTTTTAGTATAATGGTTCATTTCAGAGACATTAAGTATTTATGTATCAGAGAAACAACAGGATATAAAGTCGTACTCCAAAGTGAAAGAAGTTAATTTTGTTCTTCCATTAATGTAACCTGCTGTTCCTTATGAATAAAATGTAGGGATGAGTGGAGTTTTATTGAACACACAATAAAACAGTGCTGTTGTACCTGTTGTCTCTGGCTGGTCAAAACCAGTATCTCACTGGGCTGAGTTTGGCTTTTTTTTATTTTTATTTTTATTTAAGCTTTATTTCAACAGAACAGTTTCTTATTTACAATGTTGGCCTGAGAGAGGCCTAACAGGGTTCATAAGAGAATCAAACGTCTCAGTGTTTACAGCTGTTCTCCCTTTCCTTGTGTGAGACTTAGTCTTTGTTGCGTGAATTTTAAACTTATTCTGGAAAACTGTGAAAAAATTTGTTTCAATATAATCAGTTGTTGTGGGCAGGAGCAGAGCTAGACTTTTTTTTAAACAAAAAACAGCTGTTTTCATAAATAAATTAAAAAATTCAAGATGGTTGCCACAGTTAATTTCAAATGGCTCTAATTCAGATGTTTTAAAGGAGACCAATTACGGGTTCTAGAAATGTTTATGGTATGTCTTGGGCTATCCAGACCGTGTTCATTCAATTTAATACACAAAATAATTCTCAGATAATAAAACTACCCATTTTCTAGTTCTGCCTGCTCTGACTTCCGTTCAGAAGAGCTGTTTTTGTTAATGAGCTCTGTTGGTAACGCCCTCCAAAAATCTGTTGACATTAACTCCGCCCTCCAAAGCCAGCGTTTATGTTAGCATGGCTAATAATAG